CAACAACCTTATTTTATCTTCTGATAGTCTCCCTGGCTGCCCTTGCTGTACAAAGATCAGCCTTTTCATAAGACACCAAACAGGGGGGAAAATAGCATCTAACCACTCCTCCAGGGAAGGCCAGAGTAATGACCTCAAAATGTCATCGATGTTTTGTTAAATTATCATCATGATGGCAGCCAGAAAAGTGTTTAAAGCAAAATGACGTGGTTAGAGCCAGGGTTCTGGGCTCAGACTGTGGATCAAATCCTGGCCCCACCCTCAAATACCCATCCACGTTCTCCAAGATTCTGACCTCACCTACAAAATGGGCATAATCGTAGTAACTATCTCCTACTATAGTGTACATATTTTAAATTACTTAATTTGTGTAAAGGAATTAGCATAGTGAGCAGTACACACAAAACATTCTGCAGGTGTTGGCCACAACTATAAAGCAGATCCAGATTCAGAAACACAAAATCACAGAAATAACCATAGAGCCAAGCGCACAGTGGAGGCCGCCAAGTCTCACAGGAGTCTGTCAATTATCTTGACTTCTCCTTTGTTCCCCTTGCCCTCCCACTTCCCGTCACCATCATCCCCCAAAAGAGGTGGGAATAGTGACGCAGAGGAGTGATTCAGCCTGTCGCAGGCTTTGTCACAGGCAGGCGAGTAGAAAGCCGGATGACAACCGAATGAAGTGGTGCGCTCATGTTTTGCTAAGGATACTGAGTTGATGAAGAAAAAAGGAAAGAAAACCTTTGGGAAAAAATTTGGCCATCTGTATCTAAGGCAATAAAAACTCTCATACTGCTTGTCTCTCAACGACATTTCTTAGAATTCATCCTGAGGAAATAATACAAAAAGAAGGAAAAACTACACATAAGAAGATGTTCATTACATTATTTTATAAATAGCTTTTTAAAGATAAAATTCACCCTTTCAGAGTGTACAATTCAGTGCGGGTTTTTTTGTTTGTTTGTTTTTGTTTTTGTCTTTTTTGTCTTTTTCCGTGTCCAGCGCGCCACCGGGCCGGCCCCAGTGCGGGTTTTTTTTAGTGTACTCACAGAGTTGTGCAAACATCACCACTATCTAATTTTAGAACATTTTTATCACCCCCAAAAGAAACCCATTAGGGGCTGGCCTGGTGGCGCACTGCTACAGTGCGTCGCCTGGGAGCGCGGTGGCGCTCCCGCCGAGGGTTCGGATCCCACATACAGCCCGGTTCCCGCTCACTGGCTGAGCGAGGTGTGGGAGCAACACCGAGGGTTGCGATCCCATTGCCGGTCCCGGTCCGGTACGGGCGCAACACTGAGGGTTGCGATCCGTTGCCGGACACGAAAAAAGACAAAAAGGGAAAAAAAAAAAAAAAGAAACCCATTAGCAGTCATGCCCTCTTCCTCCCTTCCCCACCCTGGCCCTAGCAACCTCTAATCTACTTTTCGTCTCTTACAACACCATTGTTAATGACCAAAACAAGTGAATAAGCTCAATGTTATTGAATAACATATCATAAGGATATATTAATTAAATTATGGCGCAGCCATTCAATAAAAATATTATGTGCCTGTTAGAAATTACTACAAATGGGCCGGCCTGTGGCTCACTCGGTAGAGTGCGGTGCTGATAACACCAAGGCCACGGGTTCGGATCCCATATAGGGATGGCCGGTTTGCTCACTGGCTGAGCGTGGTGCTGACAACACCAAGTCAAGGGTTGAGATCCCCTTACCGGTCATCTTTTAAAAAAAAAAAAAAGAAATTACTACAATAAAGACTATCAACACAACAAAAATAAAGAAGTTAAAAAAAAACTATCAACAGGTGAAATATTTACTACATAATGTTTCAAATTTTTTTAAGATACAAAGTGATGAATATACTCTGATCTCAACCAGAGTGTATTCTGGTTTGTATGTGGACAGCCTGGGAAGAATATGTAAAAATTTTAAATGGCTATGTTAGGATAATAAGATTGGAAATCATTTTTCCTTTAGTTTTTAAACATTTTGTAACATTTATATTTTTAATAAATGCAATTTTCAGAAAATAGGTTTAAAATTATTGGAATAGAGAATATGAAGCGTCTTCAAAACGTTCATGGAAAGATTGTTATTATCTTTTAACTCCATTTTTCTATGAACGTTTTGAAGTACCCTCATAGACTAAAGGGCACAGCCAGCCAGCAGTCTGACCTCCCTGATTCGAATCCAGTTCTTTTTTTTTCTACAAGAAATCCACTTTTTTTCTTTTTTTAAATTTTAACATTTACTTGTATATATATGTGGGGTACAGTGTGTTGTTTCAATACATGCATAAACTGCGTAATGACTCACTTAGGGTAGAAGACATAGTGATTCCAGTTCTTATCTCAATTAATAAATTTCTCTATTGCACCCTCCTTCTAGCAACCAAGAGCCTTAAACTACAAAGGTCCCACCTCTCCCAGACTACACAACCTCTCACACTGTAGACATTCAGGCCCACACCCTTTGGCCCCTTGCCTCTTAGCCTACATCCCCCCAGTCGCCTCCCCCCACCAGCAGATCTCATTCTTTAACAAAGCCTCCTTACTTATCATACACACCAATGACCCTTGGCCGATTTCCTTCTATTCCTCTATTGACTATAGATAGAAATCTTGATTCGAGCCAAATGAGCTGAATAGTAAGGAAATTGGTGGAAACAAAACAACCAGCTCCCACTCCCCATTCCTGCTTCCTAAAGAGACACACCTCATGTAGACTACCCTAGCCTTCCTGTTAAGTCTCCTCTGTCTCCCTGCTATCAACTGGGGACAGACAATCATCTATGACATCCTACCGTGACCTACACATGTATACTGCACAGACACATTCATCCTTATTCTCTCACACACAGATATGCACACACACTCGAACTCTTATAAGGGGTCTTCAAAAAGTTCATGGAAAGATTCACAATGTCTTAATTCTGTTTTTCCACAAACTTTTTGAAGTACTCTTATACATACACACTCCACATGCCCTCTGCTGCAGCAGCTCTGGCTATGCCCCCATGACTGTCCCTGGGGAGGCTGGATTAGATTTGTGCCCCGTGGTCTGCACTCCCCTTCGTTTGTCCACTGGTAATGCTCTGAAGGAACGAAGCTCTCTCTTGTTTGCCCTCCTCTGGTTCGAGAACACAGTATGCCTCCACCCACTCTCGACCTCTCAGCACCTACCTCACACAGACTTACTGCCTGACCCACAATTTAAAAGAGCGGCTCCTGGTTCTCTGCAGGGTGTGGTGAGGCCAGGTTAAAGGGCAGGCTTCTCATGAAAGCCTCAACTCTACATGGTGAGCACTACCTTGTGTCAGAAACCATGTTAGTTTCAGGGATTGAGAGATGACTGAAACTAATCACTCGCTTTGAGTAACTCACAATGGAAGAAAAATAGTTAAACAAAATATTACTCTACAGCCGGGTAAAGGCTGAGACAGAGGTAGGAATGAATGCTGTGCATATTCTGCAGAGACAGGCCCCACTGCAGGCATCACCTCCGAGGTGGATTCTGAAGAATCAAGAGTTAACCGGGCCAAGAAGCATACACACAACACCTCGGACAGGTCTGCAAAAAACAGGAAGTCCACAGAAATGGTACTCAGGCAATGAAACAGGACAGACCATCCCATGCACACACATTGCTTATGTGTGAGCAACGCTCTGCATGACCTACTGAGATTAAATAAGCCATGATTTCTGGTCCCAGCCACTTGGGAGAGTCAGGTACAAAAGAAGGCAAACTGCTCGGGGCCGTAATTGACATACTGTGTGCTGGAGAAAAGAGGGAAAGGTCAATTCTAACTCTGGGCCTAAGTACAAAGGTCATTGGGAGTGGGGGGAGCATTCTCATTAGGGCACCACAGGAGAAGGTGGAGTGGGTCAAAACCAGAAAAAATCAAGGTGTGGCAGGAGTGGGAGGTCAACCTTGGGGAGAAACGGGAAGGAGGAAGACTTGGCAAGAACTGCGGGATTGGGGCAGAAAGGGGGGTGGGGCCAGCAGGCCCCACCTCCTCCTGCTCCCCCCCACAACCTACTTTCTGCAGTCTGTGGAGACAGGTAAGCGAGGAACTCCTGAGCTGGTGCAGGGCGGGAGGCTCATGGGATTGGGGCTGGGGTGTGAGGATGGGCTCTGCGACTCCTTGCTGTACAGAGTTCAGGGAACTCCTGACAGGCTGGTTTGGGGGTATGGGCTACCTCGGGTTGTTGCTGTGTTTCAGAGGAAGGAAAAGGCTTACCCTGCCTGCCGGCCTCCCAGCCCCTGTGCTAACTTTTGGCAGGAAACTTGATATCTGAGTTTAGTGAGTTAGGATCAGCAGAGCACGGCCCCTGGCAGGTATGTGGTAGTGGCCACTGCCCTAGGCCTTCGTCCGTAGGATTCTTTTCTCACGTAGTTGTGTCCCTGTGGCTTTGTTGTGTCTATGTGCTTTTTCTCCTGCCAGTCGAGCATGAGCTGACTGTGGAAGAAAGGGGAACACGGGTCAGACAGGGTATGTGGTGCTCTCTTTCTCCTTTACTCCCCAACGGAGTCAAACTGAAAGCCTCTGGCCGGGAAGGTGGGGGTGGAAGTCCAGTAGGAACAATAATAAAGGGCAGGCCCTGCCCCATCACCTGGATTCCAGAGATGCCGATGTGCACTGAGGCCCCAGGCACGGTGCACCCAAACCTGGATCCTGGATGGCATAGAGGGAGAGAGCTGGAAGGGAGATGGCAGGGAAGAAGGAGAAGGAAGGCAGACAGGCAAAGTCAGCACACAGTAAACTTGCAGGAGGGCTGGGAGTCAACTACAGGGCTGTTTTTCTGGCTATTCCACACACACTGATACTGGAGAGAATTGTGGGGCTGGAGGGGACCCTGCAGATCATTTATTTGATTTGAGATTGAAGAACCTGGAACGTAAACAAAGGAGGATAATGTGGTTACTTTGGTATCTGACAGAGCTGTGATGCCAATTGCTAGTTTAGACACAGCAGCTGTGTGTCTTTTTGCAGGAGCCCGGGGAGGGGCCATGGTGCCAAGCCAGTTGTGGGGAAGACTGGAGAAGCCGTTTCTCTGCCTGTGCTGCGTCTTCTTCCTCCTGGGGCTGGCTTTGCTGGACATACGGCCGGACATCACCCCTGCTGCTTATTTCTTTCTCAGCTTGGCTGGCTTCTTCTTGTTTGCCTGCCTCCTGGCCTGTTTTCTGAACTGGGTGTTCCGATCACTGCCATCACTACAGACCGAGAGCCCAGAGGCCTCAGGCAATGCACGGTGAGTTAAGGGGCAAGCAGGATGAAAGGAACACACCTTGGGCCCATTCTCCTGCTGTTTCTATAATTTCTCATTCTCTGCTTTTTAATGTCACTGGCATCCATGAGAGGAAGGGTCAGGGCCAGCAGAGGGTCTTTTGCTGGGAGCAGACAAGAAAGTGAAAAAGAGCTCTTTCAGTAACCCAACAATGACTTTGTTTCTCCTCCCTCAGGGACAATGAAGCCTTTGAGGTGCCAACCTATGAAGAGGCCATGGTGGTGTTGGAATCACAGTGCCATCCCCAACAGGTGGATCAACCACCCCCCTACAGCACTGTTGTAGTCCCCCCAGGACTTGAGGAGGAACAACCTAGCCATCCAGAGGAGCCGAGGAGAGCCGGACTGGAAAGGCGAGTGGGCTCAGAGGGGTCAATGACCCAGGGAGGAAGCCCTGGAAGAACTCCAATCAGCCTTCGGCTTCGGGGACCACGGGTTGTGTACACTGCTCCTGATCTGCGGAGCTTGGGGGCAGTCCCCAAATCGGAGCCTCTTACTCCACCCCCTGGCTATGATGTCAGCATTGGTCACCCTGATGATGATAATGTTTTCTATGAAGACAACTGGACACCCTGCTAAACTATTCTCCCATGATCTATCATCTGTGTTCATGAGACCCACTCATTCATCTGACCAACATTTCCCAGTGCCTATTATGTGTCAGGAACTGTGTTTCTGCCCTGACATCACGTATGGGGACTTGACCCAGAGGGGAGTCAGGCTATGGTAAGCCCGTCCCAGTTGAGATGTGAGTGGCACAATTTGAGTCTTCTGGCAACATTCGGTGACCTACCACAGATCCAATATTCTAGACAGATGGAGGGTGAGGTGGGGAGATGATCCGGAGAAGCTGGAGAAGAAAGACCAGAGGAAACATCAGAGTGACAGCTATGTTGCTTCTGTTCCACGTGCTTTGTCCCTCTATTAGATCCCTTAGGATTCCCAGCCTTCATTGAAAAATGGGGATTTCAAGGGTCAGAGGAGTTTGATAATTTGCACAAGGGCACACTGATAGTAAATAGTATAAAAATAACTTTAATGAACTCCTGATTCCGAAGCTTACTGTGTTTTCAATACAAGGTAGTGGGAAGTGAGACCACCTGCGCACCTCTCAATCCCTGTCTTGGCACAACTTTTGGTGAGGGTTGGAAGACTTCATATACACAGAATGGGGGCCAGTTGTGTCTACAGACAGGGTGGACTGCACATGGCCAGGAATGCCCCCAGCCTCCTAGGAGAGCAAAGCTAATCAAAGCTCTAACAGTCCTTGCTCTATGTGGCAGCAGTCACTGTGCCTCTTCTCTGCCCAGGAGATGGAAAGCCGTCTCCACTGCAGGGTCCCCACCCTGTCTGAAAGCAGGGGAGTATATTGCCTCAGGGGGGGAGTTCCGGTTTTGACAGTGGGGGGGATATGAAAGTCAGAAAGGATAAACATGTCAGTTTCTTGGCGAGGGGTGAGGGAGTGGTACCTAAGGAGACTCCCTCCTGAATTATCTATTATAAGGCGCCAGGGCCACTTGCAAAGCGTCTCTAATCGCTTCAGCCTCACCCTCCGCTGTGACCTTTACTGTTTTACCCCAGCACCCTGCCCTGCTTCCTCAGATCCCAGGACCAAACACCAGAGTCTGCGTCTGGTGATGCACGTTTCAGCCACTGGGAGCTGCTAAACCATCGCTGACCCCGCACTCCCCGCGCAAGACTTCACTCATGGCGCGGGCATTTGTCTAGCACCTTCCGGTGCTCTCCATATTCTCCGCACCTTGGCCCCACAGTTAACTTCAAGACAGTGAAAAGGGTGGGCCGCACCTGTCGGTGAATTATTGCAATGCGCGGGGTAGGAGGGGTGGGAGGTGCCGGGAAGAAGGCCTTGGTTTCCGCGGGAATCGGCAACCAATCGGATTCCCAGGTCGGGCGGGACCGGCCCCCTCGCTCTTTCCCCGCCCCTTCCCTTTACGCTAAGCGTCTCCTCACACGCCATTGGACGGCGCGGCCACTGCGAGAGCCCTGCGCCCGCGCACGCGCCAGCGGCGACGGGGGCGCGGCCGTCCTGGCGGCGGGGGGGGGGGGGGGG